AGCACAAAGCAGAGATCACCCCAGCTAATTACAAAACAGGCAACATTGAAAAACATTAGGTCTTGTATTGTCTTGCCAATTATTTCCTCATTAGGCTAGACAGTCCTCATCTAGAAGTGTGATGAGTCAGTATTAATTCAGGCCAAGTCTGGCCCAGACCATGTCGGTCTTCCTGATGCATAAAGGATGCTCCTTAGAAATCTGTTAGAAACTCATTTACAAAAGGAGGCACAGACGTTTTATAGTTGCTACTGAAACACCCTACCCACCACTTCTGTGTTATAGAATTAATAGAGTGTACTGAGGTAAAGAGTTGGCAGTGCTATATTAAAACCCCTGACTACACCATGTGATTTTACGTAGAAAAACAATATAGAAAAGACGCTACTACTAAACTTACAGGAATTAATGTAGTTCTTATGGTGAGAGATGGAGATCACATCTGACTTACACGACAAGCTGCACTGTATGGAGGTGTTACTGCATATCGTGTTTGTCTCTCAAGCTGGCATGCATCAAATTGTCCAGCAACCCAATAAGTACTCCTGAAAATTTGATGACACAAGCAAAGCTAAGTCAGGTGTCAAAACTCACAACTATAACTATTGCCTTTTACAGAAATCTTGTAGTTCCATGCAGCAGAATGTTTTTGGTTGGTTGGTTTTTTTCCCAGGAGAACTATAGAGGTACATACACAGAAAAGACTCCAAAACATGAAGTTAACATCCACAAAGTCAGCCAACCTAAAGGCAGCAAAGGGCTTATTTTCTAAAATGATGTTCCATGGAAGGTAGTTGTCTGTCATTAAAGAAAGCTGCTAGTTTCTTCAGTGGTTCCATGTCTATTCTTTTAACATCTTTAATTCTACAATTTTTTGCAGATTACAGTAACCAGGACTGGTGAATACCCAGCGGGGATGGGGACATAGGAATGGAGGGACACACAGACAGGATGGGACACACTTTTCAAGTGCACTGTTTTTCATACCAAAAAACTACTTCAGCTATCCTAGTGGAATTAGATTTTTGTCTGCAGTGCTCCATACAGATGAGCTCTTCCTACTCCATTTCACTCCAGATTTTTGCTGTTAGTTTCTCCACTCTGCTTGGCTGAGGTTCAAGGCTTTAGTTGGCTCAGAAAGCCTGTACGCGGTCATCTTCAGGAGCTTCTTCATGCTTGTAACATGCCTAGTTCTAGGTTTTAGACAGAAGTATTTTTAAAAACTGAATATATTATCAAGTTAATAAGTCAAATAATTTATGCTGCCATGTTAAATAAGATCAAGTCTTTGTATTAAACTGGAAGCATCTTTGAGTTGTAGTGTAAAGTTGAGTAGCCAGTAATTTCCATTCCATAAATAGTTCTTAAAAATGAATTGATTAATTCCTTCAAAGTGACAACTGCCTATTAAATATGTCACTTACAGAAAATGATTCTTCCTTTTTAATTCCAATTCACCATGTCACCTCAATGCCATCTAAGATTTGTTCAGAGAATGACAACACTGCAACCTGAAGGAATGGTACTGACTGGCACATTGTATTAGCTTAAAGCCTCTTTTGAGGACAACAAATACAAAGTAGTTCAATAAATGACTCCCATTTAGTTAGTTTTTCTACTTAAAACTGCAAGATTACATAACTCTCTCCTGCAGGCACATGCTGCAAGCACTTCCTCTCTTTGTCCTTGTGAGACAATCCATTTGCAACACCCCATCACTGGTGGCTGACCTGCAGGTGTCAGAGAAGGGACAGCAAAAGGCTGTTCGTTTTGGGGGTTTTTTTTGGTGGTGGTTTTTTTTTAAGAGTAGTTATTCAAGGTCTCCATCTGATTATCATCCTGCCTGTGACCCATTTCCTGACTAGCCAAATGAACAATAAGCCTATAAAGTTAACAAAAAAAGATGTTCTCTCCAGCTGTGTTTACCTGCAAAGTTCTCCAGGATGTCAGTCAAAATAAATTTTTTTAATTTGTTTCTTGTGAAAGGACTAAGTAACCGACCAAGCCTGTCCCAAGATATTTGTATGACCTAAGCTACCTAAGTTCTGCTTTACTAATTAACTCATTTACCAGAACATGATTTTCTGGCTTTATTATACTACAACTTACCTTGAAAAAAAATCAAAAAACAAAACCCAACCCAAACCAACCAACCTCAGTTGTGGCAGGAAGCAGAGTGTATTTTGCAGAGAAAGAAATATACCTGCCACTTAGTTTTTTTCACTCATGGGCCAGACTCTGCAAACTTGAGAACCGCTGGACATTTGCAAGATGAGTTTCCTGATCATGGGTTCCTGGTGTGAACCATCACTATCAAAGTTGAAAAGATCAGAGCCAAACTACTGATTTTCATCTACAGCATCATGCTTAGGCTCATTTTATTAACAGGAAACAGAAAGGCAATAATGGGCCTGAGGTGATCAAACTGGTTCCCTAAAAGTCTGATTTAGTGTGCAAAACTGCCATATCATACAAAAAACTTCACTAGCAAGCTTGAGAGCTCAATATGAGATATCTCATGCTATTTCTTTTCCAGGTGCCGATTAAGTTATTTAAAATATATGTTGCATTATTAGCTCTGTTCAGAGTTTTAAATCCATAAGGATACAAAACCATGGATGAGCACGAAGAGAAAAATGGAACAGGAAATTCCATGGTATGCCTCTCAGATAAAACTACAGTAGATTCAGACATAAAAACTGAGGTAATTCTTTAGAAATAGTACAGCTGAAAGGGAATGTTTAACTCATTTGAGAAAACAAGCATAATATTAACCCATCTAGAAAATTTAGTGAAAGAACAAAGCTCGCAGCAAACTAGGAAATAAAGTCAAGTCAACCTAGAAGTCAGATCAGCCCACAACTGCCTCCTCTTTCCCAGTGTCTTACATGAAGTGGAAACTACTACCAAGAACTTCAAGAATATCTAAAAGCTTTGAAAACAGTCTTAGTCTTCAGCCAAGCAAACGGACTAGCTTAGAGAAATGAACCTTATATGGTGAGCAAACTTGTGTGCATCACTCTGTTGAAAAATTTACCTTTTCAAATGTAATAATCTTAAGAGTTTCGCCCCATCCGAGTATTAGAGTCACGTAACATTTTTCCCCTTCAAGGTTAAAAATGAGTAAATATTTAAAAGAGAGTTGGTCCTGGCAAAAATAAGACTTGTTACAAGGAAGCTAATTCCTGTTTAAGTTTGCTCAAATTTAAGTTAGATTTTCCCATCTGCAACTTTTCATTTGCTTCTTACCTCAAGATACTGTGTGCGTTACACAACACTGAAATAGCCACGTCTTCTCTACTCTGAAGCCTGCACAAAGAAAGCCAAGAGACTGCTACATTAGGAAACTACACAAAAAATACCAATATCAACATCTGCAAGCTTCAGAGGGGAAGAAAGATTCCAGATTTTATCCAAATTAACATGAAAGGACAACGGAACAGGACTTTTTTTGACCACATTTCCCATGGGATTACCAGCTGAAGCAAAATGTTGCTTTTTTTTGACATGCCATTAGAGGCTCAAAGAGGATAAGAACTCTAGGGAATCCGCTGACTTTTTACGGGTACAAACAGCCCTTCAGGTTTTATTCTTGGATAAAAACTATGACAAAAATTGCACAGTAAACTATGTTTGAAAGTTACCTAGAGGACAGCACTACAATGTTGATATAAAAGGCAGATCTTCAGTTTGTCCATGTACCCCGCTGTAGTAGAAAAGATCTGTCTGTACACAAAAAAGGCACCTGATAGTTAGTTACACAGATTGAGAGAGCTAGGAAATTAACAGTTCATAGCAACATTATTCATAGACTCTTGCAATTTTACACACAAACCATTGCCCAAAATGGGCAACTTTAAACTTGACCATACTCAGAATTACATGTGCATTACTATATGCTAAAGATCCCATTAAGACACATATTAAAGACTAATTTTACAGCAAGGTCTTGCTGTCCAAATACATCAGTGCAGTTGTAAAACCGGGATCTCTAGGGTGTTCAGTCTTCCTATAAGGTCAGCTGTTGGGAACTAATCAAGCAGCTGCTGTACTACCAAAACCTTTGCTTAAGAGTTTAATCAGCTTTCAAACATTTGAATATAGATAAAGCCCTGTCACGCGAGATAGTGAACCTTCACAACTATTGCCAACTGCAGGTGTGGGAACACTGCTGAATTTCCATGAAGTACATCTCACTTGAGCACCCGCTGTGCAGATACATGGCCAGGTGCTCCAGCACAGGCTGCTTCACCAAGGAAATCAGTTTTCCCATGATGTTTACATCCTTTATCAGTTTATTTTTACCAGTTTACCCTTCACACATAGTGCAAAATAACCCCTCTTCCATATCAGCGAGGCCTTAGCTTCCCATCCAACTTACTCCAACACGGGTTTCCTTATACTTTCAGACTTTTGCCTCAGGAGACTCATGCAAAACCTTCAGACAAGAGCTGCGCATCCACCTTGGTAAGTGGATTCCAGACCCTTGGCAAAGCTGAACATGCACACAAGATCTGGTTATATTCCTAAGGGTTAAGAACAAAACTTCCATTAACGTTCTCCAATACAGCTACCAACCTTATTATGATTAGTTTGATCAATTCAGCACCTCCAAACTACAAAAAAAGGCAGTTTGTACGACTAGTGTCTCTGAAAAATGAACGTATTCATTTAAAACAATGTGTCTTCCATACATGGTTTGTCAGAGATTTTTTTTCTAAGAAGGCAGAAGGTGGTTGTGTTATTCAGCATTCCAAACTAGGTACAGAACCTACAACAGCCATGTTTCAGTAGTGTTTCTAGTCCAAATGATTCAGTAGCTAATATCAACATTTGACTCCTTCGGCCTATAGCTCCTCTGTTTGGACTGGCTAGTTTACAGCATTCCTGAGCCAAGTAATTAGCATGGGTCCTACACCACATGCAAGGGCCATAAAGAAAGGATAAAAACTTTGATCTAACCCTCCGGCAAATTTTAACAGAACATGGGCTGCTCTCCTTCACTGCAACATAATATCCTTCAGATTCTCTTGAAGGATTGTGTCCTTCACTGCATGAAACACAAAGCGGATGTTTTCAGTGTCTATGGCAGTGGTGAAGTGATGGAAGAGCGGCTTACTGCGGTTTCTCCTCTTTCTGTCAAAGCACTGCACCAGATAACGCTGAACATCTTCTAGCCTGTGAGGGTCACCTTTGAAGTCCGAGAAATACTTCTTAATGCTGACAGTCTTTACCTTCTCTACAAGAAGGTCCATCTTGTTGAGGAATAGGATAATAGAAACATTAAAGAAAAGCTTGTTATTGACTATTGTCTCAAAAATATTCATGGACTCCACAAGTCTATTTGTGCGCCTGTCTTCCATGAGAACCTGATCATACTCACTGGAGGAGACCATAAACAAAATTGAAGTTATTCCATCAAAGCACTGGAACCACTTTTGACGCTGAGATCTCTGTCCACCTACATCCACCATCTTGAAAGGTATTTTTTTAATGATGAAATCATGCTCTACTATCCCCTTGGTGGCTTTTCTAGCCAGCAAAATATCTTGTTTGCTGGGGAAATAATTCTGTAAAAGAAAGGAGAAAAGTGTCAAAAAATCCTTGAAAAATGCTGGCTAATGCTAGAATATTCAATCAACAGGGAAAAAAATATCAAGAGATATGTTTTTTCCAGTTATCAAGTGAAGAATGAATACTCAGCTTTAAAATAATGGACTGTTAACCGTTTATTTCAACACACTGGTAAACAGCTACAGAAGACCCTGAGACATATGAGAATAAGAATTTAGGACTAATACTCTTGTTCACATTTTTATCCTTAAAGCATCTGGTTTTCAGGCTGAAGTCTAGTTTTTCATTATGAAATTCTTACAGTGTTATTGCCTTTTAGGTAGCATTCAGTAAAGCAGATCAAGTCATCACTGAAAGGATTTTTTTTTTTTTTTAAATCTAGTTTTTCACAGTTCATTACTCTTACAGAAGGACATCTTGCCAGCTTTAGTGGAAATACTTCTTTCAAGTTCACAGTCCATGACCAGCGAGTATAGCAACATGTTCTACTGGAGGCGGTGGCCCAGCCCACCCCTGTAGAGAGATTTGTTCTTCAGAAGCTTATCACTGTTACTATTTAAGAAAAATCATCTCTGTTCTTTCTCCTCCAAGTCTCCTGACAGATGTTTTCATTACCAATTTTGAATTCTACAAGTGCTAGTAAATTTTTTTTATTCAGTAAGGTTTCATTCTGCTACCTTAAGTAGCACCAGCCATCAGATCATCACAAAAAGTGAATGAGATCCAGAGACTGCATAGGACGACTGATAAAGAAACTATGTGCATAAATACAACTTCCATAAACAGTATTTGTTGTCTGTCAAAAATGTTAAGCAAATACAAAGCTTCAGTTTCATAAGGCTGGACTTTACTGTTTCTAAAGAACATTGAAATTAATTAATGTGTAATTATTTTGGAAAAAAACCACACACCAACAAGCAATAAACTAAAAAGCGTTAATCATAGCACACCCAAGCTTCCATCATCTCTTTGAGCTCTTTTGGTTCAGAAAGAGAAGGTATGTCTTACCAGCTGACCGATTCGATCCAGGTTATCCAGGAAGTATTTGACCGATTCACCCTGTGGAAAAGGAAAGAGATGGAAACTAAGGTTGTTTCTAGGATAGCAAATCCAACTGAGCTATAGCCTTTTCACTTTCCAACATGCATGGAGGTCTAACAGAGCAATAGCACAAGTGGAAGCTTGGACAACATCCTGATACACTTCAGGAGTTGGAACAAGAGAAGTACTACATAGCTGAATTGACATAAACTGCTGATAATGAAGTGGAACTGCCATAATGCACTATTGATGTGTAGTTAAGACAGTAGTTCTTCTAAAAGCCATTCTCTAACTATCATTTCTAGAAAAATCAAAGTTGAGTAGAGATCTGAAAAAATGCTCAAATCTATCTAGCATATCTTTACAATGAAAAGGAAGTGTTAAAGTCAGTCCTTAGCTTTTTTTCTCCTTTTATGATGAATGCAATTAACTGACACTGGGTGGGAGTAAAAGTGAAATGCATTTATTAGAAGCCAATGTATTTTGTTTAAAATTCGTAACAGTGAACAAAAGCATATCCTAGACTGGTTGGCATATCTTTAAGAAAAGTAAAAGATTTAAGTCACCCACAATTTGTGATAATTTAAACTAGACTTGCTTGTCAAAAATAAGAAAAAGGAACATTCTGAAGGAGTTTCTCTTCTACAGATAATTTCCCTTTTAAGCTCAAGGATTTTTAATAATAGATTTGCTGATTTTGTACAAAATCCTTTAGCAGTTATACTGAGAGGAATATAAGCAATGTTTATAAAGAAAATTTATTCTGTGAAAATGTGAAGATGTTTTGTGGAGTTTTTTGGGTGGGGTTTTGTTTTGGTTTTGTTTTTTTTTTTTTCCCAAAACAAGCTTGCCTGTGTATCACACTCAAAATCAAGTGCCACTTTGCATTAGTGGATACAAGAAGCCCCACACATACTTTTTAGCAGTAATAAGATTGTTTCCATATAAATGCAGACTTTATTTCTGGAGTGAAACTATCTTTGGCAGAAGCCCATTCTCCTTCAAACACTTCCCTTTCATTTCTTCAGATGAAGATGATCTGTTCAGTAAGAAAGCATTCTTCATTGTTTAGGACACGTCTTGCAGTTGAAGCCATGCCAAAAGAACGATAAAATGGAAAAATCCTGCTGCCTTTTAATATTTTTAGGCAGCAAAACACATTATATATGTCGCAGAGCAGGGCTGTGTCAGTAATGACCAAAATGACAGTAGACGCCCTTGCCAATTCACTAATTTTGAGAATGCTCTCATTCTGAGTATCATCTCAGATTCTAACAGCAGTATGAATTCTCTAACCATACATTCTCCTCCCTATCATAGGCTTGAGACAGCAGAATAAAATTACTCCCATGCAGTACAACTGTAAACAGACACTGCCACAACAGCTCATTTTGAAGAATCAGACTAGAGATCAGACGATTCAGTGTACTGTACAAGTACATACTTTCAGCACAAGGCATAGACAAAAGGAGCTGTAACTTATTATTTCCTAACATTTAAAACTGAAGACTTTTCACAAAAGAGAATGTGCATATTTGCAAAAAACTACCGTGTATCACAACAGATTTACAGTGGACCACGAGCAGAAAAAGATGACTTTTTTTGGGAGAAGTTTCCAAAGAACAATTGCCCCAAGAGCTTCCTTACAATCATGAATTTTCATAAGGTGAAAGTAATTTCCTGTGTTTTTTGGCACTGCTGGATCAGAGGAGATATCATAGACCACGTGAATAAGAGAAAAGGTCTTCCTGTACAGCATTAGTCATATTTAGTAGATGGGAGAGCCCAAAGAGAAAAGGTCACTGAAGCTACAAAACCCCCTTCTCTATCTATTGTGCTTTGTCCTATACAATGCCTTTAGATGTGGAACAAGACTGCAAACAGGCAGGCTCTGATACAACTTCTTCCTATTTTCTACCCAGTTGCTTTAAGAGTCCTTGCCTTGTCCATGTACCCTCCCACGCTGAGAACAGGAAACAGCTGTATGCCTGTAAACTGCTGGGATACACAAGCAAGTTCACCTGATTTACAGCTTCTGCCCCCTCCCCATTTCCTGCCCCACACAATCAATTTAACATTTTGCACATTTATAATAAGGTAAGAAAATAATCTGATTAATAAAAAATACATGTTCATTTCTGCAGTGATTTAGGGAAACTAGACTTCTATAGGTTCTTACACAGCTCTTTGTAACATTGCAATTAAGCTAAATAATTCATTCTGGGAAATTTTAATCAGTAATTGCAAAACACCTGCATAGCTGGGTAACCAGGTCAGGTTGGTGGAACAGGTGTGAACACCATATGCACAGTCTGACAGATTTGAAGATGTCTGAATATTCTCTTCTAGCATAGAATTCAAAAGACATCCAGTACTTAAATCAAAATATCTGTTTCTAGTCAAAACAGCAAATCCCTCACTAGCTCCAAAGGGTTTGAAGTTAAGAAAAGCTCAAAACATTAAAGCACACAACCCTGAAGGGAGGAAAAAAAAAAAAAACAACACACCACACAAAAAATCCCAAACACACACTACACGCTCAAACCCCCCTACTTTAAACACGATTCCCTGATTCAGTGCTGTGTTATAGCCTATGAAGTGTGGGTTCAGTTCCTCCTCCAAAGACTTCGAGTCACCTTGCTCTACATCTTAGTCTGACTCACAGAAAAGTTGGTTGCTTCTAGGAAGCACGTGGGGTATTTCAGTTCATTGAGCAGGCAGCATGGAACAACTACAGAGAGTATCAACTGACTTGATGAATAACTTTTAATGTATTTAAATGAGGAAAATATGGAAACTCCAGGTGTTAGGACTGTTTTGTTTTAGTATTTTTCATCAGAACAGTTAACTGAACATTCATTTAGCTTTTATTTTTTTTCTTGTCATCCAGGGAAAACAGAGAGTATTAATTAGATCTAGAAGTCAAATTTATTTAGCTTTATATCAAGCTGCACTTGAATGCAATTTTGAATTCTATTGGTAGCTTTGCATAAATAGTAATTTATCTCATGCTTTGGATATTATATAAACACATATGTATACACACATATGTATATTTACATATATTAAAAATACACATACACTAAGAGTTTAGGAATTGTTCATTAAGGTAAGGGTTCTATTCAAGGCAAATGATTATCAAAATAAAGTATCAGCTGCCCCTCATGTTGAACTATTTTTTTCTCTTGAAGACACTGACCATGAACAAGCTGGTTTGGCTTATTCAGTGCAAATTCTTAGTGTTTCTCCAAAGTTATCTAGCCATTCAACTCCATTCAAAAGCTGGCTTAGCACTTCAAATGCTCTCTTTTTCCAGATCTTTGCCAGTTATTTCTGGTTCACTAGCATGACTTCCTATGGAAGTGGCAGCAAATATTTGCTGTTGATTCATCAGATACTAAAAACATCTTTATGCAGATTGACAACTTCAATCATACCATTTTAATGGTTCTAGTGGAAAAAAAGTAAAGTCTTTTTTTGAACATCGCAGTCTCTTTTGAACTATGCTTGCATGCGGCAAAATACAAATGGAAGCCAAAGCTATTTATACTATATTTAAATACCTAAAGATAATCGCATCACGGTGTGTTCACTTAAAGAACAAACAAAAATGGTCCAGGTCAGATGCATCAATCTTTTATAGGCTGGTGTATCAAGAAAAACTGTGGCACCTCAAGAAACTTCCCCAGGTCAACTATGTTCATAGAAGATTGCTGAGCTTCTGTCTTTTCAGATAAAAAAAAAAACAAACCCAACTCTCAAATCTTCTTGTATTTCCCTGTTAGTACACCATTTACTTTTAAAAATATTCTAACAATATTGATAAGATTCTTAAATTCAGAAAGACATCATTTCATTTCAACCAGCACCGTATTTAGATACAAAGCACCATTCTGTCAGTGACAGCAAGGTGTGTCAGTGGAGCATGTCTGTACTGACATTTCTTTTTTAACTAATAGTCTACTAGTATATTTCACATTTGAAAGTTACACCAACAAAGCCTGAGATGACCACTATCTATTTTGCTGTTGATACAAGCCAGCT